ATACTGCTAGTTACTTGAGTCTATAAAAATTTCCTCACTTCTTGTAGGGGCCATATGTTATAATATACATGCATTAGCAGACAAAATACTAATTCATCATGAGATATCATTTGCTAGGATGGGATACCTGCTAGTTAAGGAAACCTGTTAATATCACACATGTTCCACCCTCTTTTATGTAGGTGAAAATTTGTGATATGCAGATGCGTGGCACACCACGAGACTTACTTCCAGGAGATCCCATTTGTAGCCCAGTAGCAGCAGTGCTGGCTGAGGCCACTATCCAGCTTCTCCGTATCCTTCACCGAACAGACCGTTGGACTTACTGCATTAACAAAAAAATGATGGAAAGGCTGCATAAAATTAAGATATGTATTAAAGAGTCAGGTCAGAAGCTGAAGAAAAGCCGCTCAGTTCAGAGCCGAGAAGAAAAATGAAATGAGAGAGGAAAGGGAGAACAAAGAGGATGAGAAAGGTAAACATAATAGGCATGGCCTTGCTGACCTCTCAGAACCACAGCTGAGGACTCTTTGCATAGAGGTGTGGCCTGTGCTGGCAGTGATAGGAGGAGTTGATGCTGGTCTTAGAGTTGGAGGTCGGTGTGTTCACAAGCAAACTGGACGCCATGCCACGCTGCTGGGAGTGGTCAAAGAGGGCAGCACTTCTGCCAAGGTCCAATGGGATGAAGCAGAAATTACCATCAGGTATGATCTCTTGAGTCATACTTTTAGCAAATAAGTATTTAATGTTGAAATGGGCCATTGCCCATGGATTGAAATTATGTATTTTAGGTAAGCTGCTAGTTAACTTTTTAAAAAAGTTTCTGTGTAGCTGGATATTGGAATTGTTGATTTCCTAAAGCAGTATTTCTTTGAAATACTAGTGGTTTATAAAATATAGAGTTTTTGTTTTATTTTATTTGGTGAAGATAAATTCACTAGTTTAAACTAGGTGTAACTGAAATCCTTTTTATTTTTCATTTGGCTTCCTGCTTTTTGTGTGTATGTGTGTGGTGGGGTGGAGGGGAGTGCTAGGTATCAAACCCTGGGTCTGGTGTATGGTGGGGAAGTGTTCTGCTCTATTATTGGGCAACTCCCCAATTTCCTGCTTTTTTGATCATTTCCATTATATACTGAAAGAGTAACAAGCCACCTAGCCAATCCTGTTGATTACATTTTCTGTTAGAAGGGCTGTGAGTACAGGATGGGAACATTTGAGTAACTAAAATTAAGTTTTGAATTACCTGTAATCTAAAACACTGTTGCTTTGCCTGTTTTTTAAAAGCATATATTTCTGAGACAACATTTTGAAAAAAATATAAAACTTGGATTTGTTTGACACAGCTGGATAGCTAAAGCTAGGTGTGTTCACATTCAGATAGAATTTGAAATAGAAACTATATTTAAAAAGAAAAATGTCAGGTATCTCCATTCAAAAGGAATGACTACATGATTGCAAATACAGATTTATTGATATTATATAACTATTATATTTCCTAATGTGACTCCTAAGTTATTGTTAGTATAAAATTGAACATTGTCTAAAACAGTGGTTGTTAGTGTTTTATAGAAGTAGTACTATTTTAAAATTCAGTGAAGGCTGTGGACCCTCTTAGTTTGTGGACACAAACATAAACTTTACATAGAATTTCAGGAATTAATGGACTCTATCCTCCCTACCCTCCTTCACTAAACAAAGAAAGCAATGACAGTTTTACAAAGTCACATGAAAGTGTTTCCTTTTCTTTCGTGCTTTGTGTTGTTTTAGAAAAGATTTATGGTACCTTATTAATATGTATACAATATAGTAAAATAAGTAAATTGATAAATGAAAACAAGAAAAATGAGGCAAAGGGAAAATGAGACTAGGAATGTAAGATAGAACCAAGATGTATGTTAGTACAACAAAACTTTACATGTTTGCTGAAGTTTTTTTAAATTATATTTTGTATAATTATACCATTCTTAAACTTCAAGAATTTCTTGCCAAATATCAGGAAAAGAAATTATAATCTTTGCCTAAATTATAAAATAGAAGCTTCAACTGAAGCCTACAAGGTAAATTTTTTAAGAAAATAAAGTCTATGAAGTAAGTTCTCTAAAGAGGCATTACCCACACAGTAAACTAGATTTATTTTGCAAGTACTCCAAATAGCTTATATCAGACTACATCTGGCCCACCTCCTGTTTCTATAAATAAAGTTACATAGCCCCACTCAGTTTCTGCCTTTACACTATGATGGCAGGGTTGAGTGGTGGCAACATAAACAATGTGCCCCACAAAGTCTAAAATACTTACTCTCTGGCCATTTATGGAAAGTTTGCTGTCTGCTGGCTTACGTGATATAACAGTAAATAGTCTCATTTGAAAGCACATGCACATCTCATTGCTTTTGCATTTAACATCACGTGTCCCATTTTCTCATAAGACTCATTTTTCTCTCTGTAATGACATCTAGTTTGTGTAAATTATTCTCTGTATTGTGTACATGATACATCTTGTTTTGTCTGCATTATTTTCTGTACCTTCCTCCTGTCTTTCCCTCACTGCTTTTTCCTGTGTCATTCTGATCTTTATTAAAGCTTCCCAACTTTTTGGTCGCCTAGTGATACTCCTTTGTATAACCTGGAACCCTGTGAACCACTGCCGTTTGATGTGGCGCGATTCCGAGGCCTGACAGCTTCTGTGCTGCTGGACCTAACATATCTAACAGGCATTCATGAAGACATGGGAAAACAGAGCATCAAGCGACATGAAAAGAAACACCGTCATGAGTCTGAGGAGAAGGGGGACATTGAGCAGAAACCTGAGAGTGACTCTGCTTTAGATGTGCGAACAAGCATAACATCTGATGATGCCAAAAGTCAGGGTACCACAAGCTCCAAATCAGAAAATGAAATAGCTTCATTTTCTTTAGATCCAACGCTGCCAGGTGTGGAATCCCAACACCAAATAACAGAAGGAAAAAGAAAAAATCATGAACACGGTTCTAAAAACCATGACATAGTCCAATCAGAAATAAGGGCCGTCCAGCTGTCCTATCTCTACCTCGGTGCTATGAAATCACTTAGTGCTCTTCTTGGCTGTAGTAAATATGCTGAGCTATTGCTGATACCAAAAGTTCTTGCTGAAAATGGCCACAACTCAGACTGTGCGAGCTCTCCAGTTGTTCATGAAGATGTGGAGATGCGTGCAGCCCTACAGTTCTTGATGCGACACATGGTGAAGCGAGCAGTCATGCGGTCGCCCATAAAGAGAGCATTGGGATTAGCTGATCTGGAACGAGCTCAAGCCATGATTTATAAATTAGTGGTTCATGGGCTTTTGGAAGACCAGTTTGGGGGCAAAATTAAGCAAGGTATGTTATCTGATGCAATTATTTATAACTGTCAAAAATGATACATTTTTAAAGTGATTTTTAAAAAACATTTTTTTTTCTTTTTTTGGCCAAAGCAGTTTTCACATTGTTTTTCCTTTGTAATGTAGACAGTCCTTTTTTTTTTAACTTTCATATTATTAATCATGTCTACTTATAATTTTCTATTTTATACTTGCTTTAAACTAAGCATTAGAACTTGATAATTGTCACTAAATTTTGTAAAACTGAAATTTAACTCATTCCACAAAAGTTACTCAAGTGTTTATTGATCTGATTCAAAATATATAATAGTCTCATAACTTCTTAGAAATATTTTAGAGGACATTTTAAAACCTACTACTTCATAGACTATGTATTGTGTGTAATAAGAAAAACCACTTTCTATCGTATGTTCTCCCTCATATGCAGACATTAGATCAAGGGCAAACACAACAAGGGGATTGGACTTTGATTACATGATAAAACGAGAGCACACAAGGGAGGTATGAGGATAGGTAAGACACCTAAAAAACTAGATAGCATTTGTTGCCCTCAACACAGAGAAACTAAAGCAGATACTTTAAAGCAACTGAGGCCAATAGGAGAAGGGGACCAGGAACTAGAGAAAAGGTTAGTTCAAGAAGAATTAACTTAGAAGGTAACACACATGCACAGGAAATTAATGAGTCAACTCCCTGTATAGCTATCCTTATCTCAACTAGTAAAAACCCTTGGTCCTTCCTATTATTACTATACTCTCTCTTCAACAAAATTAGAGATAAGGGCAAAATAGTTTCTGCCGGGTAGCGAGGGGTCAGAGGGGGAAAGGGGGGGAAGGGGGGAGAAATGACCCAAACATTGTATGCATATATGAATAAAATAAAAATTTTAAAAGAAAAAGAAAAACCACTTTCTTTTATCCTCAGTTTTGGGAATAGTATAAATTCTGAATAAAAACAAGATTCATTCTGGAAATGTTTATTGAGTGGCTACTATTTGCCAGGTACTTTTTCTAGAGGGGCAGCAGTGAACAAAACAAAGTTCTTTGCCTTCAAGAAACTCATGTCCTCTATTCCTTCCCCATCCCCTTCTTTTCCTGTTCCCCTCCTCCTGTCCTTCTAGTTTAACTTAGACAGCATGCAAGCAGGGAGAGGTGCATGTGCATGTAAGTAGGCATGTGAAGAACATATTGATTATGAAGGAATGTGGCCATTTAGCAAACTTAACAGAATTAACTCTCTGTAGCAACTACTGTTGAGTTGAGTTTGTGCTCATTTGTAGATCCCTTTACCCAATAAGGTAAAATATATAAATATGTTATAAAAATTTAGCTCCCTCCCCCTTTTTGAGTCATTATCCCATTTATTTATTTGTTTGTTTGTTTATTTATGGTATTGGGATTTGAACTCAGAGTCTACACCTTGAACCACTCCACCAGTCCTTTTTTGTGCAGGGCTTTTTTGAGACAGGGTCTACTAAACTATTTGCCTGGACTGGCTTTGAACCATGGTCCTCCTGATCGCTGCCTCTTGAGTAGCTAGGAATACAGGTTGAGCCACTGGCTTATTATCCCTTTTAAAGCGCAGAGTTTCTGTCTAGGTTTTCATTCTTCTTGCATTTGTATGCCTTTATCTTTGCCTATTTATAGATTGGATACAGGAATCAAAACCAAAGTGCTAGGCAGAAACAGTTTTAATGATTGGATATCTTTAGAGAACTTCTCAAATCTTACAACCAAAAGTGAGACCTTGCTTTTTGTTTGCTTTTGAGAAAGGGTCTCCTTACATAACTTGCTCCTGAATACTGAATGCTGGAATTATAGGCGTATGCTGCCACCATGTTACTGCCTTTTTTCTTTGTAAGAGAGATCTCTTCTCTCAAAACAACTGAGTAATTCTCTTCCCCTCCCCTCACCCTCTTCTATACTGGGGATTGATCCTAGGGCCCTGGACTTGCATATTCTAGGCAAGCACTCCACCACTTGAGCCCTGTCCTCAGCCTATTTATTTATTTACTTTATTATTTTTTCTTGTGAGACTGGGGTTTAAACTCAGGGCTACAAACTTGCAAAGTAGGTGCTCTGCCACTTGAACTACACCTCCTTTATTTTGTTTTTGAGATAAGAGTCTCATGCTATCTTTGCCTGGGCTGTCCTCAAATTTGAGATCCTCCTGCCTTCACCTCCCAAGTATCTGGGATTATAGTCATGCATAAGAGCTTGTCACAGTACTGTCTATAGAGCTTGAAATAAAGAACATAATAGTGACTATAAGGATATAGTTATAAATCTTTCAGAAAATATATTTAGAAACTTTTAAGCTTAAAAGTTTTCCATTTCTTTTTTCTTTTTTACTAATTTATCCATTTATTTAAGTTTTCTTTAATATCTTTCAATCATGTTTTAGTTTTCAGTGACCACATCTGTGTTAGTCAGGGTTTTCTTTAAGGATAGTTTTGTGGCTTTTTTTTAAATCTTTTTATTATTATTGTACTAGCAGGTTCACTATAACATTTACCAAAATTCTTATAATATATCATAGTTCAATTCACTCCCTCAGTAATTCTCTTTTTTCCCCCTTCCTTCATTCCTGGAACCGTTTCAAAAAATTTTCAATTTCTACTGTCTTTTTTTCTACTTCTATATGAAAAACAAATTCTTACTACTTTTTTTTCCCAGTAGTATTGAAGTTTGAACTCAGCATTCTACATCATGCCCCTAGCCCTTTTTACTTTAGTTATTGTTCAGATAGTGTCTTGCAGTTTTGCCCAGGTCTAGTATTGGACTATGATTCTCCTACCTCTGCCTTCCTTGTAGCTGGAATTACAGGTCATTCCCCCACCCTCTTACTACTTTCTTAATCTTTATCTTGGCTTATAGATACTGATCAACAAGCTGAAGAAAGTGACCAAGCCCAGCAGGCGCAGACACCAGTTACCACTAGCCCATCAGCCTCAAGCACAACTTCCTTTATGAGCAGCTCCCTTGAAGACACCACAACTGCCACCACTCCGGTCACTGACACAGAAACAGTGCCTGCATCTGAGTCCCCAGGAGTGATGCCACTTAGTCTTCTCAGGTAGAAAAGTTGATTTTTAATGTTTGCCAAACCGATTGCTATAGTTCTGAAGGCATGATTATTCTCTTATGAAGAGTGTGCCCAACTGAATGTAGAGCTAGAAGGCACCTGAGAGTATATAGTAAAATCCATTTTACTAAAGTTGAAAACGTCCCTCAGAAGTTTAAGAACTTGCCTCAAAGTCTCGTAGCCAGTTAGTGGTAGGGCCAGATCAAATCAATCATGTCTCAACATGTGCTCCAGCACTCTCTCTCCCTGTGATTTTTTTTTTGGGGGGGTTGGAGGGGAGGTCAGTCTGGCCTTGAACTGTAAGATTTGTATATTTTTCTTCAGAAAGTGGGTTGTGTGTGTGTGTGTATGTGTGTGCTGGAGATTGAATGCAGGGCCTCTCACATGCCAGGCAAGTGTTTCACCTCTGAGCCATATCTCTAGCCCTGTACTTATATTTTGAATATTAGAGTCAGAGAAAAAAATCTCACCTTCACGAAAATAATTTTTTCTTCTTGGGTTGTTTCCCTTTGAAGTACAATCCTGTATACTTTTTTTTTTTGCTATAAGATCAAGTCTACTTTCCAACTGAAAAGGCATGTCTTCCACAGCCAGCCCTGTATTATAATAGATTTGTAAATTCTAAATAGTGTTTACCTATTTAACTTTCTTTTTGCTTTAATTTGCCAGATACATGCAAAAATGCAGACTTTAGAGATAAGACCTTTAAGGAGAGACTGTTATGGACTCTCTTAAAGTTGGCTTAAGTGAAATAAGAAAAGCCAAATAGTCTCCCTTTTTTCCTTTCCTTCCCCTCGTCCCTTAGTTGACAGATCATTATTATTCCTGTGTGTAGATCAACATCTTAGAGAGTGGCTCTGATTATAGTGATTCTGAATTTATGTGTGCATAAGAATTAATTACCTAAGAGACTTGAAAGTTCTAGGGCTGTATGCCCCAGCAAGTCCGATTGGGTAGGTCTGGTGGGCCCATAGTTTGCATTTTGATTAAGTTGCCTTAGTGATTCTATGCAGAGGTCTTCAGCTCATTCTTTGAGAATTACTACTCTAGTTTTGTTAAGAGGCACACTAATTCTACTAATCACCACTGCTACTACCCATACATGTCCTATTTCTTAGCTGTCTCATTTGAGTAATAGTTGTAGAGGGTGCTTCTGTTTCAGAAAGGGGGAAGAGAGAATGATAGGACATTCTATCATTTTAAGTTCCTGTAGCAACTGCAGAATTCAAGGCATCCACAGAGAATCTATGACACCATGTTACCTTTCAAGCTGGTTCTAGAGTAGGCATAGGATTCCTTCGTAGAATTATGCCTTCTTGCTCCCCATAAGCATTCACAAGGCCTTTTGACTCCTTTTTTGCTTCTTTCATTTTTTTAAAAAAATGTAGTTCTGGGGATTGAATTTAGGGCTTGTGCTTGCTAGGCAAGCACTCTACCAGTAGACTACACCCCAGCCTTCTTCTTAATCTTCACTTCTCTTCTTGGCTGGGAATTGATTAGAGCTGCAGTTGTTTCCACCTGGAAAAACATCATTTTATAAGATAAAAATCAGAGAAATACTGATCCCTGAGTATGTACCATTGTACCACAGTTATTTGATTGAATAAATGGTGGTGCTGATATGTAGAAGGCTTCTAGTTCTTTTGAACGAATGTGGATTTCATTCTCTAGCCAATGTCTACCTTCTAAGCCTGAGAGGGCTATTTCTCTCCTGTACAGCTGGCATATCATTCAAATACTGTTTTGCAGTTATGCTGGTGACTAGATACTTTTTATAACTTTCCTATAAGTTTGTAAATATTTCCATAATTAGCTAGTGAATTTATATTTAATCTAACTGCAAATTGTGTAACTTTAAAGTCCTTATTTTATGCATACTAAAATACCTAAAATACTCCTCACCTACTATGTTCCTGACTTTTTGATGAGCAAATGATAAGGTTTCATTACTTTCATAATGAAAGTACCTTATGAATAATCATTTTAAAACTGAGGAGTCTTTCTTCTCAACACCCCCATTAAACTATAGCTAACCTATTTAATTTCCCAGGTTGCATATTTTCCTATAAGAAGTTTGTTATGTGTCTGTTATTGCCTAATTGGATCTTTACACTAATCTTTGTTATTGCTTAAAGGCAAATGTTCTCTAGTTTCCAACCACTAACTGTACTTCCACACGTCGTGCGCAGACTCCTCCAATATCATCATTACCAACTTCTCCTTCTGATGAAGTAGGAAGGAGGCAAAGTTTAACTTCTCCTGATTCCCAGTCAACAAGGCCTACTAATCGCACAGGTGAGTTTGCTGTCATGCATTAAGACATGCAAATCTCTTGTCATTCCAGATGTATTGACTTTATTATATGGTCATTGTATTTTGTCTTTATTGAAGGTAAAGAAGTGATTTTAATGTGGTATTGCACCCATCAAACTAAGTGTCTTCTACATTTTGAAAGTGTACATTGAATTGTGGCTGTTTGGAATAGACATAGTTTTTTTCCTAATACAGACAATCTTTAGTGCTATAAATTTCCCTCTAAGCACTGGGTTAGCTTCAACCCATGTATTGGAAATGCTGTGTTCCCATTTTCATTTAAAGTACTTTCTAATTTACCTTTGCTATCTGTTTTGACCTCTGGACTAATTGGAAGTATGCTATTTAGTTTTCAGATATTCAGAGACTTTAGTTCTAGATAACTTTCTGTTACTGATTCTACTTTTATTGTAATCAAAGACAAAATCTTTTGTTTTTTTTTAATACAGGTCCCCCCCCACCCCCCCCCCCCCCCCCCCCCCCCCCCACCCCCCCCCCCCCCCCCCCCCCCCCCCCCCCCCCCCCCCCCCCCCCCCCCCCCCCCCCCCCCCCCCCCCCCCCCCCCCCCCCCCCCCCCCCCCCCCCCCCCCCCCCCCCCCCCCCCCCCCCCCCCCCCCCCCCCCCCCCCCCCCCCCCCCCCCCCCCCCCCCCCCCCCCCCCCCCCCCCCCCCCCCCCCCCCCCCCCCCCCCCCCCCCCCCCCCCCCCCCCCCCCCCCCCCCCCCCCCCCCCCCCCCCCCCCCCCCCCCCCCCCCCCCCCCCCCCCCCCCCCCCCCCCCCCCCCCCCCCCCCCCCCCCCTCCCCCCCCCCCCCCCCCCCCCCCCCCCCCCCCCCCCCCCCCCCCCCCCCCCCCCCCCCCCCCCCCCCCCCCCCCCCCCCCCCCCCCCCCCCCCCCCCCCCCCCCCCCCCCCCCCCCCCCCCCCCCCCCCCCCCCCCCCCCCCCCCCCCCCCCCCCCCCCCCCCCCCCCCCCCCCCCCCCCCCCCCCCCCCCCCCCCCCCCCCCCCCCCCCCCCCCCCCCCCCCCCCCCCCCCCCCCCCCCCCCCCCCCCCCCCCCCCCCCCCCCCCCCCCCCCCCCCCCCCCCCCCCCCCCCCCCCCCCCCCCCCCCCCCCCCCCCCCCCCCCCCCCCCCCCCCCCCCCCCCCCCCCCCCCCCCCCCCCCCCCCCCCCCCCCCCCCCCCCCCCCCCCCCCCCCCCCCCCCCCCCCCCCCCCCCCCCCCCCCCCCCCCCCCCCCCCCCCCCCCCCCCCCCCCCCCCCCCCCCCCCCCCCCCCCCCCCCCCCCCCCCCCCCCCCCCCCCCCCCCCCCCCCCCCCGCCCTCCCCCCCCCCCCCCCCCCCCCCGCCCCCCCCCCCCCCACCCCCCCCCCCCCCACCCCCCCCCCCCCCCCCCACCCCCCCCCCCCCCGCCCCCCCCCCCCCCTCGCAAGAAGCTTTGCTGATTCCACACTCCTCAGTGCTGCATTTTGCGCTGACCATCCACTACACTACAAGCTCACCTACATAACTTAGCTCTTAATCCACATCTTTATAGCTACATTTTTTCTCATGAGGTTGTCTTGCCTTTGAGACTGGAGTTTGAGTCCTGAAACACAGGGACTGTGTCTCACACTCCCATTGCCTACCCCTACCCAGACCCTGTCCAGCAAATTGTTGGATATAACTTCACTTCCATATGCTTGATTATTGGCTGACAGACTGCAAAAACAAAGACTAAAAGGGGTGATCAGTATTTAGGGTAACTTGAGGTCTTGGGCTGGGTTTCTAGGAGTGTCTATGTTCCCCTACTCCTGGTCATGCAGAAATATATGTTTGTGTGTGTGTGTGTGTGTGTGTGTGTGTGTGTGTGTGTGTGTTTCCGGGAAAAAAAATCCAAAGATTTTCCTTTTCTTTAATCATATCCTCAAAGGTCTATGACCTCCCTCACGTATCTTAACAAGCTCTTTCTTGACTTGGGGATTTGGTCTTTCCTTTGCCAACTAGAAGCAGACATATGGGCCCCCTAACACCCCCTTCTTACTGGAGTGCCAAGGACTTCTAGGATATGGGTTCATTAATATTCTGAACAGCTCCCTGTGTGGCAAGCAGGGGCAGACAGGCAGGCTGATTATCTTCACTCTGTTGCTAGGGAAATTATAGCGGGTGAGGGGTATGGATGCATGAATATTGCCCAAGGCCTTGTGCTGCTGAGGGCTAGACAATAGCTCATGAGTCTTCCCTGCTGGACTGGGCCTTTGAGGCTTTAGAGCAGTCAAGTGTACAGAATGAAGTGTCAAATAAATGTGGGTCAGAGTCCAGTTTTACCACCAGCCAGCTGTATAATTTTAGGACATTTTTTAACCTCTCGGAAGCTCAGATTTGCTGTATTTATAAGGCACAATTAACAAAACTAGTTTCCTCACAGTGCATTATTGAGAATTCAGTGAGATAATATATGTAAATGCTAGGAGCCTTGTACACATTAAGCTCTTAAGACATCATACCTATTATTATCATTACTTTTAGAATTTAACTTCTGGTGTGTTAGACTTCCAGGTAGGCTATGGTAGGAGTCCAGGCCCAGCTCACAGACTGGCACTTGCTAAATCATAGATCCCTTCTCACTGTGTGACCTGAAGGCCAGTGGTCAGGGCTGCAGACACTGAGTACTTCAGCCCTGGGTTCCAAGGACTGGATTTCACAAGAGTTCATTCAGTCCCCTGTGGTCACAATTGGTCCTTGGTGGTATGACTGTTTCAAGAGATGGGTTTAGAAAGGGAAATGACTGTGCAGTGGCCATGTGTAGAAGGCCCTAGAGGCTAATGCTTGTGGCAAAGTCCCTACAGCCATAGGATAGACTTGGATGGGGTAGGAGGAGGAGCCCTGGACAGGGATGTGGTTCAGCATTTGCTGTTAAGCTGCTGTGTTAGCCTGAAGAAATCACCCCTGATCTGGATCTCATAAAGAGTTGGAAAAAGACATCAATAACGCATAAGGTCTCTTTCAGCAATAAACTCTTTTGTTCTAGATGCTTATCAAAAATTTGATATGGAGCCAATTTTGGACAACTGGTCTTAGGGTAGGACCATTCTGGTTTGCTTGCTTTTTTCCTCATAGAGGCTAAGAAGAGTTTCTGTGAGCAGGCCTTGCTTTATTTTTCTGTCCCTAGTGTTTATCTCCCGGCCAAAGAGAATAGTCAGCTCTCAGAGAGCTGCTGATGAAAGGCAGGCATGCAAATGTCCTGGCTCCAAGACAAATAAAAGAGGTCGTTCTTATTTTAACTATGGCAACTGCTTCCTCTCTAACCCTAGCAAGGCAGAAGCAGAAATGAGTACACATTATAAGCAGAAGGATGGCATGAGGCCATAAGTAAAAAGGTTGAACTCCTTGAGTTCTTAGAACATCTGAGGCTTGGGAGTTATCTCTCCATCCTTATCATTTTCATGGACAAAAAAAGGAAGTCCACAGGGAGCCAAATGAATATTTCAAGGTTGCTCAGAGAGACTTGGAGCCCAGCCTCTGCCTTTCAGTTCAGAGCTCTGTCTGTCACTCCACATTACCTTTGGGCTTCATCCCTGTCAACATGGTGGTGTCAGAGTATCTTTTCAGGGAAGTCATTAAGATGTGAGAGGCCAGGGATCTGGAAGAGTTGTGGGGTCAAGGGCAAGCCCCTGGGACCATCTGAAAGTAGATTCATATTGCAAACAGAATCTATCTCGACTGTTGGGTCTGGAAGAGCATTTTAAATAAGCACTGTCCCTTTCACAATCATCCTGGAAACTGCCTGGTGTTGGCTGTCACTGCCTAGTGCCCTGGGAACTACCCTGCATGGTGATAGAGGAGGCTAGGTAGACATGGCTGTGGGGTCCTCTTTAGTGTGTTCCTGCTGGGGTTAGCAGGGCTTCTGCTTTGCTTCATTCCAAAGGACAGAGCCACAAAGGCCTACACTTTGCCAGGGCTGAGAGATAGCTGCTTAGGCTACTTTCTTGTCTCTTCTTCAGGTTGTGAACATTCTAGAGCTGTGCATGTGTGATTAAAAAACAAATGGGAATAGCTGTACATTTTGCTCTACACTTCTTCCTCCTCTCCTTCCCTGGGAGCCCAAATTCACCTTCTGTCAACATGGTCTTAAAGGTAGAGCTGGTCTTACTTAGGCAACTCCTTGGGTTGAAGAGGGGAGAGTAGGTCCTGAGGAACATTTGCACCAACTTTGCTGCTGTTGTTGTGTTTTGGTTTCCCACGTGCCTTGATGTTTTGTCATTCCTATGCGGTTAGCTGCCTGCCCTTGCCCCGACCCCACCCCCACCTTCCTTTCCTGGCTGGCACTTTGGAATGCAGCCTGTCCTTCAGGAGGTATTGAGGTAAAATCTGGTGTTATGCATTGGCAGATTGGACTCACAGCCTGGGCTTGAGTCTAGAGACTTCCAGAGACTTCTAGGAGCTCAAGAGTGGTAAAGCAGCAGGCAAGTCTCCAGAACTTTCTAAATCAAGGATGTTAATATACACCCACGTATACCACTGTCTCCTCCTGCTTCTACAGCAGACATATCACTAATTGAATATTTATACTCTTCCTCTGTGGTATCTGGATTTCAGCCTCAGAATCCTTTGCATAGCCAATTGATTGGAGTGGGCATGACCATTTCTATTCTTATTCTTTAACTGTTTCAATGCAAACACAATTGATGATGTCAATGCTAAGAGCAAGAGAAGGATCAGAAATGCTGAGAAACATTTTAGGGTGTGGGCACACAAAAGGAAAGAACAGGGGACAATAGTAATGAAGACAATAGACCAGGAATTGTTAACATGGCTTGTGTCATCTCTGCATATTTTAAGTCCCCTTTCTAATACAGAAACATGGGATTTCATTTTATAGCATAATCCTGGGCAAGAAAATACAGCTTTTAGATTACAAGACTGATTATCCACATTATTGATTTGTTTTGT